CTCTGCTCTTTGAATTGAGAAAGCTCCTCGGATGAGGAGCGAAACGTCTTCTGTTACAAATAAAGTCCAGTTGTTTTTGTATTGAACGCTTTTTGAATTCATCATGTCCTGGATGACTGAGAATCTTCACCAGCATATTCTAGACACACTGGTATTGTTGTTTAACTTCTGACTCCAGTGCACCCCCTACATTATTCCAACAGTTATATCTCAGTGATACATGGTCCAATCTGAACCTGAGTTTTTGTGCTTCATCAGTGAGCACTTGTAGACACATAAGTATTGTTGATTCATGACATCACTTAAGCCCCACCTACTCAGAGAAAAAAAACTGTTGATTATTGGATGACACTTCCAGCTTCACAATGTGTAATATATTAGACTGAAACTTTGTTTGCTAACTTTTGATAACCACACATGACATGTTGAAAATCAGAAAGGAAGTGCTTGTCAAACATTCGCCACAAAACAGGAAGTCACAATAACTCCTGTCTGGAAGGTCAGATTTCACCTATACTTGTAAGACCTGCAGCTGGACAAGTAACGACATGGACGGAAGGCGATGTTGAAGATTCGTGAAATGCGCCCCGTGGTGAACGCATGTGGGATTGGCACGAGAGAGTTCATGATGACGACTGGGTGGACTAGCTGGAGCTCCCACGGTCGCCGTAAGGCCAGAGTGGTGCTTTGATGCGAGGGCCTCCAATGCTGCTTGCAGCTTTAATTTTTATTTCATGTTTTTTTGTTCATATCTTAGATCTTATTACTGTTTTTCTTTTACAGTTTATTGTGGGATGTAACTGGGACCCTGTGTACATAATCTTGTTCCACCACATGTACCACATGTTGTGTCTATGACAAATAAATCTTTCTGACTCTGAAATACTCAAAATGAAAAAACTCTAGAGGCTCGCAGCAAAATGCATCATGACAGCGTGAAAGCATAATGCACAGACAAGGGACAAAGAAACTGACAAAGTGTTTAAAGAGACATTAACCAAGGAAAAAATGACAAACACCTGGGGGGATCACTGACTGGGGACAGGTGAAGGTGAAAGAAGGTGGCAGACAGACTGGAAAAATACTGAGAAGGCTGACAGAGAGAGAAATGAGTTATGACACTGGAGAATACTGACACAAGCAGCACAAAAACACAGAAACTAAACACGTACAGCACAAACCGTGACAACAATTAGCTAAAATTAGATTGATGGTTATTCCCAACAGATCATCCAAGATCTTTGTTTAAAAGTTTGGCAGAAAATGCATTCTTTCAAGAAATGCTAGTTTCAGTTTGTTCTTGTTCTACTTTTTATGTTACAAATCTAACAGGGTGTTGACCTTCATTTGTTTCATACATACATTTTTTTATGGACTGTTTTCCCTTGACAGATATCACACATGACTGGACGTGTTCGAGGAAGTCATAATCCAATGCACTGGCATACTGTGTTTGTGAATCCACAGTAGACCCGCACATGTGAGGTAAGAGGTACATTTTACCTTAAAATTGGGTTTGGAAATGAGGGCAGACAGTTCTCTAGCTTCATCACTCGTGCCTTGGAATAACAGCTCCTCAGCCAACTGAAAGAAAAACACAATCGAGATATTTGGTTTTTAAGGTGTATGAAGTTTCTTTGGAGCTAAGCAAAAGAACAACAAAGACTTGTCAGACAAAAAGAGATAGAGGAACGCTAGCTAATTCTGCCATGATTTTGATGACTCAGATGTTAGCTATATTTATACATTCCCCATTTTGGTTTAACTTTTGGGGAAAAGGTCCAGATTGTTCAAAGCCACACTAAAAAGAAAACAGAACAGTCTCAAGTGTCAATGGCGAGAGACTGTTCGCAGCTGCCCACCTTGTCAAGTATATTACCGTAACGACTTCTGCTTTGAGATGTCTAGGCAAACTCCAGAGACACATGCATGAAGGTCTTTAGTTTTCACTGTGACCAAACCGAAGCCTCTCTGAGGGGAACCAGAACCTCAGCCTTTTTGGTCAACTGTGAAGATTTAAGCCAGGCAGAAAGTGGCTGTCGGACCAAATCAAAAGCAACTGTACTGAAGGGAAGGAGATGAATGCAGGGAAGAGAAATACGTGGAAACATGGCAGAAATGACCACATAGGAGGTTGTAAGAGAAAATGAAGTAAACATTTTAATAAATGAGTAAACCCACTAAAGGGGTTTAAAAACCTGAAGATAAAATAATGAAAAGTAAGTAAATCAGAGAATCAGAGATTCTTTATTGTCGTATGTACACAGGGTCCCAGTTACATCCAACAATAAAATGTAAAAGAAAAACAATGATAACATCTAAGAAATGAACTAAGAAAAACATAAACTAAATATACACTAAGCACTAATAGCATAAAAAACATTATGTTGAACAGCAGCACGAACATGAGCATGAGTATGTGTGAGCAGATGAGCATGCATGAACACAGCAACATGGAACAGATCAGCAGCAACATGAAATGGATCAGCAGCAACATGAAACAGATCAGCAGCAACATGATGTGATTATTCTGGTTAGAGATTCATGAGTCTAACAGCCTCGGGGTAGAAGCTGTTCCTCAGTCTAGTGGTTCTACACTTAATGCTCCTTAACCTCCTTCCTGAGGGGAGAGGGGCAAAAAGTGTGTGTGCTGGGTGAGTGGAGTCCTTCATGATGCAGGTGGCCCTCTTCCTGCATCTGGAGGTGTAGATGTCTGTGATGGTGGGGAAACTGACTCCAACATCTTCTGTGCAGCCTTCACCACTCTCTGCAAAGCTTTTCTTTCTGCAGCTGTGCAGCCTCCATGCCACACGTTGATGCTGGAGCACAGGATGCTCTCCACTGCACACCTGTAGAAGGAGGTGAGGACTGAGCTTCCCAGACCAGCTCGTCTCAACCACCTGAGGAAGTAGAGCCCAATAGAGAGGCAATAAAGGAAGAGGGAGTACAAGATGTCAAAAAGAAAAAGGAAGGTCGGTATATTCAATATTATGTACATCTGAAAGGAGTGGAGACTGTTTCTGTCATTTTTAGTAGAGAGACTGTCACTTCAGGGCAGCTGTGGCTGAGTGGTTACAGCAGTCATCCTCCAATGCAAGAGTTGGGGGTTCAACTCCACCAGCAGTCACTTGCCAAAGTGTCCCTGGGCAAGACACTGAACCCCTTGTTGCCTCTGATGTGTGTCCTATCAGTGTATGAATGTGATAAAGCACTGATTAGACTCTTTAGAATGATTTGTTCAATTAGCTTTGTAGAGATCTAGTATAGAGCTGTATGAATGGGTAAACGAGGCACAGATTGTAGTAAAGAGCTTTGAGTATATTGAAATCAGATAGAAAGGAGCTATACAAGTACAGTCCATTTACTTCATCTTCTCAGACATAAATTATCCATCCTGAATCACAGGCCAAAAAATAATTTTATCTGCCCAACAATCATCCAAATATGTTGTCCTGTGTTACGTCCCGGCTCGTTTTGGACACAACATAAATGACATGACAAAAGTTTGTGTACAAAAATAATAATGTGACAATTATTTTTCCTGAGTTTACAAAATACTAAACAAAAATCACAGCAATAGCTGGCATTCTTCATACAATTTAAATCAAACAAGAACACTTCTGGTTCTGAACAATGACTCAGCTATTTAAAACAAAATTGAAAATTCCAAGCCAAACAAAATACAGCAACCCAACTAACAATGGTCAAACAAGTGGCTCCACAATGAGAATGAAATCTCCAACCAGACAAATGTGTCTTTGCTACACAGGCCACAGTCTTTCAGAACCAATAAGACAAAGCAAGACACAGTCTGAAACAATTTGTCTGCACCACCAAAAGTTGGCATACTGCACACTAAGCACAGCAGCACTGATTGAAGGGCAGGGCTGACTTTTATGATCTTCTTCCTCCTTCTGGCCTCTTCACTGGCAGTCGCTGGTGGATGGGTGATGCTGTCCAAACCTCCTTTGGCCAATCATCTTTGGACAGGTGAGTCTTGAAGGCTTGGTTGAAGGTCCACCATTAGAGGGAGGCAGCGAGCCAGCAGAAACCAGGCATTACAGAAAAGAAAACTGCAAAACTACAAAAGAAGAAAGGCAGTACAGGCCTGAGGCCGTAACATCCTGACTGACCCTGTTCCTGACACACAGACACAAAATTGCATTTTTATCCCCCATTGAGAAGTAAAGAGTGAATTGGGGACTGCCATGCAAATGCATGGCAGGCACCTATTATTCTACACCTCGGAAGTGTGTCTACATTTCTATCTCTGTTAATGCGGCCCGAACCACAAAGTCTACCCCCACAAAATTATATCAAAACGACTGGCTCGGCCCCGTGATGTGTGCTATTACTTTTATTGGCATTTCAAATTACCATGGCAAAGTAATTTGCAAACAAAGATGCAATATTTCACCAACTCCAGGAACTAGTTGGTGACTGTCCACTTATTTTTCTACACCTGAAAAGCGGATTTTTTTCAACTTTGATGCTGGAGCACAGGATGCTCTCCACTGCACACACCTGTAGAAGGAGGTGAGGACTGAGCTTCCCAGACCAGCTTGTCGCAGCCGCCTGAGGAAGTAGAGCCCAATAGAGAGGCAATAAAGGAAGAGGGAGGACAAGATGTCAAAAAGAAAAAGGAAGGTTGGTGTATTCAATATTATGTACATCTGAAAGGAATGGAGACTGTTTCTGTCATTTTTAGTAGAGAGACTGTCACTTCAGGGCAGCTGTGGCTGAGTGGTTAGAGCAGTCATCCTCCAATGCAAGAGTTGGGGGTTCGACTCCACCAGCAGTCACTTGCCAAAGTGTCCCTGGGCAAGACACTAAACCCCTCATTGCCTCCGATGTGTGTGCCATCAGTGGATGAATGTGATCTAAAGCACTGGTTAGTCTCTTTAGAATGATTTGTTCAATTAGCTTTGTAGAGATCTAGTAGAGTGCTGTATGAATGGGTAAACAAGAACACAGATTGTAGTGTAAAGCACTTTGAGTGTCTTGATAAGATAGAAAGGTGTTATGTAAGTACAGTCCATTTACCATTTACCTGTCTGAGGCTCTGACTCGTTCTGACTTCCTGAACAGAAAAAAAATCAGTTCTGTAGAACTTCCAGCTGCCAGGCCCTCAGCCCCTCCCTGCCCTATCTGGCCACTATCCGAACCCAACTGCAGTCAGGAGCAGGAGGAATCTGAGAGCCAGCAGCTCACAAGTACTCTGGTAAGAAAGATGTCACTGTAATTATATCAATCAGCCCTCAAGGATAATACCATACCATCCATCCATTATCTTTACCCGCTTATTCCATTTTGGGTCATGGGGGTCGCTGGTGCCCATGTCCAGTAATCACTGTGCGAGGGGCGGGGTACACCCTGGACGGGTCGCAAGTCCATCACAGGGCCACATAGAGACAAACGAGACAAACAACCATTCACTCTCTCACTCACACCTAGGGACAATTTAGAGTTACCAATTAGCCTAACATTAATGTTTTTGGTCTGTGGGAGGAAACCGGAGTACCCGGAGAAAACCCACGCATGTACGGAGAGAACATGCAAACTCCACCCAGAGAGGCCCCTGGACCAGGGTTTGAACCAAGGACCTGCTCGCTGAGAGGCAGCAGCTCTACCAGTTGCGCCACCGTGCTGCCATAATACCATACCATATAATTTTATTTATAGAGCACTTAAAACAGCTACAAGGCCAACCAAAGTGCTGTACAGACAGAACAACAGACAACACACAAAGCAATATACAAAATGAAGTAAATCAAAAATATAGACATAAAAATGATGCAGATAATATATATGACAACAAACCAGTGTGGAGCGTACAGGTTCACAACGCAGATCCTCTGGTTTTGAAAGCTACTGAATAGTAGTGGGTTTTTAAACGGGACTTGAAAACCGAGAGGGAGGGGGCCTGTCTGACAAGCAGAGGTAACTCGTTCCAAAGTTTTGGTCCTGCTACAGAGAAGGCCCTGTCACCTCTGCGCTTAAGATGAGTTCCTGGAACTGTGAGGAGCAACTGGTCTGCTGACCTCAGGGAACGTGGTGGGACATACGGTTGTAGCAGATCAGAGAGATGGGGGGGGGGGGGGGCGAAACTGTTCAGCGACTTTTAGACATACAGGAGTATTTTGAACTGGATTCGAAGGTGAACCGGTAACCAGTGCAGTGAGGCCAAAACTGGTGTAATGTGCTCTCTTTTGCCTGTACTGGTTAAAAATCAGGCTGCTGCATTCTGGACCAGTTGTAGTTGTGCAATGGAGGTCTGACTGATACCAAACAGGAGTGAATTGCAGTAATCAAGCCTAGATGTAATGAATGCATGTACAGTATTACTGTCTCCAGGTTATTTCTGGAAAATATGGGCTTCAGTTTAGACAGGCGCCTCAGTTGGAAGAAACATGATTTAACAATCATGTTTACGATTGTTAAGTTTCAGGGAAGGGTCCATTATCACGCCCAGGTTAGTGACTCTTTGTTTTTCTGACAGGGTTAGAGCGGAGAGGTTGATGCAGTGGTTTGTGATCGTGTCGATGGGAGGGAACATGACTTCAGACTTCTTTTCATTGAAACTT